GGAACTTAGGAAGGGGTAAAGGAAGGTAGGGGAAAGTGCCTGGAGAAGTAGTGATAGGGTCTTGTGTACCATATGAAGGACTTTATCAAAGCCAATAGAAAACAATAGATATCTCAAAAATAACTGTGTGGGAGTTTACAAAACTAATATATCCTGTAAAAATTTAAACTGCCCAGAATATAAAATGAAAATACTAATAATCCCTCATAATCACTATCCTACCACCCAAAGTAATTATGAATAGTTTGGTGTACCTTTCTTAAGATTTATTTGTTTTTGTATAGACTAGCATGTTTTATCATTGCTATTTTTGCAGATTGGGAAAGTTCTTTCTCTATTTTGTTCTCTGCTGTATCCCTAGCACCCAAAGTGATGTCTAGCATGTGGAAGGCTCTCATTAAATATTTACTGAATGAGTGAATGAATAGCATACCATTCAGAGGTCAAAAATAAAATCTGTGAATGTTTGGTCAAGGTGGTTAAAAAATTTTTTTTTTATTTGTTGCCAACATTTTAAAATTGGTAAATTTCACATAAAATGTGAATTACTGATTTTCCTTGAAAGCGTTTAAACATTAGGCCACACTAAGTTCAAATTCCATTATACTTGTTACACCTCCATTCAATGGGCATGAATCTGCATTTGCATCAGTATGACTTTGCTGATATTCACCTGCCTGGACCCCATAAGCCTGTGCTGTCCAAATACGGTAGTCACTAATCACATATGGCCATTAATTAAAAATTCTATTCTGAGATGCACCAGCCAAATTTCAGGTGCTCACTGGCCACATTTAGGGCCTACCTTATCGAACAGCACAGATACAGAACATTTCCATCATTGCAGAAAGTTAAGTTGTGCATTGCTGCTTTAGATGTTTGTCACCCCTACTATACAGTGTTTGCAAGTAGCATTTATTGTTATTATTTTTAAAATTTGCATATCCCTTTGTCATGACACAGATCTCCATATTTTAAATGACTACATGGTATTTAGAAGGGTAAGACTTTATGTAAATTATGGGGCCATGTACAGTAGCTCATGCCAGTTGTCCCAGCTACTTGGGAGGCTAAGGCAGAAGGATCACTTGAGCCCAGGAGTTCTGGGCTGTGGTGAACCATGCCAAGGGAGTCCGCACTTAAGTTCAACGTCAATCTGGTGACCTCCTGGGAGCAAGGGACCCCAAAGTTACCTAAGGAGGGGTGAACTAGCCCAGGTTGGAAATAGAGCAGGTCAGAACTCCTGTGCTGAACAGTAGTGGGATTGAGCCTGTGAATACCCTCTGCACTCTATCCTGGGCAACATAGTGAGACCCCATCTTTAAAAAAAAATTGTGGGGGTAGGATTCTATTGTCTGGTTGCATTTTTTAGAAATATTGCTTTAGCTCTGGTTTGGAAGATGAACTAGAGACGGAGAGGTTGATGGTGAAGTAAGGCAGAGAGATTAGGGGATATATGGTAATCAACACCCTAAGGCCACAGAACCCAGGAAGGGCTAGAATGAGATATTAAGGCAGTGAAATTGACATGGCTGATTTAATGTGGGCTGAGATCTTTTGGATGCTAAAGTCACCATAGAGATAATCCAGTATTTTCTGGAACTGATTCCAATGTTGAAAATCGGTAAAATGTAGCTTTACAAAGTATAGAAGGAACTCTCAGCTAGTTCCAATAAACAACGTGTATAATATTAAAATGTTATCAATTTGTATATAAACAAATGTATAACTGTTTTATACCATGTAAACATCTTAGAGATCATTTAGTTGCAAGGTACAGAAACTCACTGAAGAGAGGGAATTATTTTAGGGACAATGTAAACACTCATAAAGCTCTATTAAATGTTGAAAGCACAATAGTCTCTTGGGAATCAGCAAAGTGTCAGTCTCTCTCCCTGTCTCCTCCTCCTTTCCCTCTCCCTCTCCCTGTCCCCTCCGTGTTCTCTCACTTATCTTCTTTCCACACCTGTATTTCGTTGTCTTTTCTGTACATCCACTTCTTTTGCAAAGCTTTTGATTTGCAGTTCTTAACTTGCATATTGCTTTATTTTGCCTTAGCACCTGCTATAGCCCCAACTTATATTAATATATGCCCTTATGTTCCTGAGCCAGATACTGTCTTTTTTTTTTTTTTTAAACATTTTATTTATTTATTTATTTTTTTTGAGACAGAGTCTCGCTTTTGTTGCCCGGGCTAGAGTGAGTGCCGTGGCGTCAGCCTAGCCCACAGCAACCTCAAACTCCTGGGCTCAAGCAGTCCTTCTGCCTCAGCCTCCCGAGTAGCTGGGACTACAGGCATGCGCCACCATACCCGGCTAATTTTTTCTATACATTTTTAGTTGTCTGACTAATTCTTTCTATTTTTAGTAGAGACGGGGTCTCCTCTTGCTCAGGCTGGTCTCAAACTCCTGAGCTCAAACGATCCACCCGCCTCGCCCTCCCAGAGTGCTAGGATTACAGGCGTGAGCCACTGCACCCGGCCCCATTGGGTTTTCTATATAGATGATCATCTTATCTAGAAATACAGTTTTACTTGTTTATTTCTAGTCTGGATGCCATTTCTTTCTTTCTTCCCTCTCCCCTTCTTTCCCTCTTCTCCTCCCCCTGCCCCCAACTAGAACCTCCAGCACAATGTCGAATAGAGTAGAAGTCATGAGAGTGGACAGCCTTGTCATGTACCTGATCTTAAGAGGAAAGTATAGTCTTTCACCAATAAATACGCTGTTGGCTATAGCTTTTATGTGGATGTCTTATGAGGTTGAGGAAGTTCCCTTCTATACCTAGTTTAGTGGGAGTTTTTAATCAGGGCTGGGTATTGGATTTTATTAAATGCTTTTTTCTGTGTCTATTAAGATGATCATGTGGTTTTTCTTTTTCAGTCTGTTAATAGGGTGAATTACATTGATTTATGAATGTTTAACCAACCTTGCATTCATGGGGTGAACCTCACTTGGTCATGAAGTATTACCCTTTTTGTATATTAGGCTAGATTTTCTAAAATTTTAAAAATTTTCATATTTAGGTTCAAAGGGATATTTATAGTCTTATAATGTAATTTTCTGGCTGTAGTATCAGGGTAATGCTGGTCTTACGGAATGAATTGCAAACTATTCTTAACTTTTAAATTTCCTAGAAGGATTTGTACAGAATTAGTATTAATTCTTTTTTAAATGTTTGGTAGAATTCCCCAGTGAAGCCATTTGGGCCTGAAGCTTTCTTTGTAGGAAGGTTTTTAAATTACAGATTCGATTAAAAACTAGTTATAGGGCTCTTCAGATTATTTCTTGTTGATGAGCTGTGGTAGTTTGTGTTTTTTAAGGAATTGATATAGTTCATCTAAAATGTCCAGTTTCAGATTTTCTCTTTCATTGGTTTTAAGAAGTTACGATGTGCCTTGCAGTTGTTTCTGTTTCTTTAGTGTGGTGTTCATTAAACTTCTTGAATTTGTGGGTTTATAGTTTTCATCAAGTCTTGGAAATTTAGGTCCATTATTTCAAGTATTTTTTTCTGTCTACCTCTCCTCCCTTTTTGGGGACTCCAGTTAGGTGGATATTAGGCCACTTGAAGTTATTCCATACCTCAGTGATGCTCTGTGCATTTTTTTTTCAGTTTCTCTCATTTCATTTTAGATAGTTTCTACTGATTATGTCTTCAAGGTCACAAATCTTTATTTTCACAATGTCTAATTTGCTATTAGTCTCATCCAGTATTTTTTTTATCTTAGGCATTATAGTTTTCTTGTCTAGAAGTTCAGTGTAGTTCTTTTTAAGAAATATATTACATGTCTACATAACATGCTCATATTTTCCTTTAGCTTCTTGAACATATGGAATATAGTTGTAATAACTAATATCCTTGTCTGCTAATGCTGTCATTCATTTATTTAGGAGTTAGTTTCCAATTGATATTTCTTGTAATTATGGATCACATATCCTGCTTCTTGTCTGCTTGGTAATTTTTAATTGTAAATAATACCTCATTAAGTGCTGGATATTTTTGTATTCTAATAACTCTTCTTGAGCTTTTTTTTCTGGGATGCTTAGAAGCATTTTAATCTCTTTGGGTGTTGCTTTTAATCTTTGTTAGGTTGGGCCAGAGCAACTTTCAGTTTAGGATTAATTTTTCTCTAATACTGAGGCAGAACCCTCTGAGTACTCTATCTAAAGCCCATGAATTATGAGTTTTCCACTTTGATGGGTGTGAATAGGCACTGTACCCTGCCCTGTGTGAGCTCTGTGTGTTGTTCCCTCTAATCTTTCAGGTGTTCTTTCCAAGCTCCAGGGGGTTTTCTTACACATATGTCCTGATAGGACTCAGTTCAATGTGAGAGGGGTATTCTCTGCCAACGTCTGGAGTTCTTTTTTTGTGCAGCTCTATCGTCTCTTGCACTCTGCCCTGTGAGCTCCTGCTACCTTGGTCTCCTTGAACTCCCAGCTTCATCTCTTCAACTTAGGGTGTCCGTTAGGCTTCAGACAGGTTTACCCTGTCTGTACTGGGGCCGGAAACACTCCCCAGGCAGTAAGCTGGGGCAGTTGTTTCATATTGTTTCCTATCTCTCAGGGATCACTGTCTATCCTTGCCTAATGTCCAGTGCATTGTATAAGTTAGATTTTACCATTCCATTACACACTTCTACCCTTTAGTTACTGCAAACTGATAATATTTTATAGTTGTTTTTAAAGAATCCATTTCTTATTCCCCAAATAATTTGTCATTAAAATAAAAATAGACCCCTCCCTAAAAAAATGAAATGAAGAAAATTCAAGTTTCTAAAGTACACAATGTGTAGTAAAAGTAATGTTATATATGCTCCTCTGGTTTGTGTTGCTGAAAGGAATTGCTGTAGGGGGCGTGAGTAGAAGGAAGCCCAAGGTGAATGAGTCTGAGATATGATAAAGAAAGAACTGACACACCCGTTGAATAAGTATTATTTTTCCAGTTTGGTAAATTAATATTTTGCACAGATATTTATGGTTTATTTTTTGCGTTCCAGATAATCAAGTGAAAGAATGATGACCTTCATCTGTGGACTGCAGTCTGCTGCTAGAAATTGTGTTTTCTTCCGATTTAATTCACTAGCCAACTGGAGAAAATGTAACACATTGGTAGTAACCTCACCAGACTGTCATCAAGTACAAATTAACTGTATGGTAAATAAGTGTCAGGGACTGGGAGTAAGTCAGTGTAATAGGTTGACTTTTCTGCCTGGAAATTTTAGTTTTTGTAGGACTTTTAAAAACAAAAGAACAGCATACCTCCCAAGTAGCAAAAGTAAGGAAATTTGGATGACTGCCAGCAAATATACTGCATGGAATGACTCTTGTTCAAGACAGCTAGTGATAAAAGAAGTTACAGTAATTCCTGCTCTTTTGCATCGTCTAAGCTGCTCGCCTATAAGAGCTATCAGGTGTTTCCACACTTCTCCACGGTTTCAAGCTGCCCCAGTTCCTTTCTTGTTGATTATTCTTAAACCAGTGCAGAAGCTACTTGCAATCATTGTAGGCAGGTAAAGTACTTTTTAAAAAATAAACTTTTGTATTAACTTTTTGCATTAACATTTTGTATTGTGTATATTAACTTGTATTAACTTTTAAAATTAAACTTTTGTTTGTAAAATTATACTTTTAAAGAAACCTTGTTAAATCCCCTTCCACTGCCTATTTAGCTCAAACTTAAGTTCCAGTAGGTCTTACCCAAGTTTGTTATGTGTGATTTAGTAATCTTAAAATAATTTACTGCACATTAATTTATGGCATAGAAATGTGTGATCTTTTAAAAGTTTTTCTTACATATTTTATGGACATTTTAAAAAAGATATTTATTAGTATAAGAAAAATCAGAAGTTATAATTCAGGGATGACAACAGTATTTGCAAACATGCCTTTTTAGTTTGTGAAATTTGAGGCAACAAATCATGAAACTGAGGAACTTTGCTTATATGAGAATGGGCTCCCTCCTAGTGAACTCTTAAAACATTAATATTTCTATTTTATTTCCAACAAATCTTTATTTTCTCTTAGTGGTCCTTTATAATAATTAATATCTTCACAGCTAAATAGTATTTTAACCCTTGTTTTCCTACTATCTGTTTGATGAAGATTGAAGAAAGCCAATCACTGTCTCCTCATAAAACTTTGAGTTTGATAACTATGAAGTCCCTTCTAGCCTTCTTGGTACTTCCATGCTAACCAGCCCAATTTGCTTTTGATCAAAAAGTGAGAGCTGCTGCTGTGTAATTTATTGTGTTCTTAATGATTTGGTGTTGCCACCCAGAAAAGATACAGCTAGATTGGCTCTCAGTTAAAAGCAACAACTCACCCGGGTTCTTGGGATAATAGCTCTTTCTGATTTCTAAGGCATTCTCTTCCTTTTAAGTTATTTACTTTTAACCTTCTTGTTTTTGTTACTATTGTAAGTCACTTAAAATTTCCTTTTGGAATATGTCTTGCATATATTTTAAATAAATAATGTCATAAAGTTTTAAATAGGAAATAAGTGTATTTCATAGTTTGGTTTATGTCCCTTCAGGTTGAAACACTTTGTTTAAAGGCATTTCAGGTGTGTGACTTAACAAAATTAATGTAACTTTAAGAAGTTATTTTGTAAAATAAATTTTTGTCAAGAGAGTGACGTATGTATGTTAAATTTTTGTTGTGGTTTGAACTCACGGGAAAATTTTTGTCCCAGTATTGGGAATATTGCTTGTCGTCAAAATGTTTCTGAACACTAGTAGAGAATATTGTTGCCTGGGAGAAAGTGGACCTCCTCACATGTTTTCTATAAAATTTCCCATTTTCTTATTTACAGTGCTTATGATCTTCTTATTACCTCTCCTTTCTTATGTTCTAAAGAGGATAGTGGAGTTTTTGCCACTGAGCACTATTTATTTCCAAAATCAATGTTGAGGTAGTTTTCCTTGTACCTTGCTGAAACACTGGCAGATTGTGCTGGAAGTCTGAGGAGCAGTGGGAAGAATAGTGGTTAAAGGTATAGATTTATTGTACTGTAACCACTTAGATATTTATTTAGGTCATTTATCCCTATTAAGTGGTTAAGTAGTCAGGCTCTGGAATGTCACTGCCTTCATTGCCTGGTTTTTCTCTTATTACCTCTGTAACCTTGCCCAAGTTGCTTAACATTCTATATCTCAATTTTCTCTTCTGTAACAATGTTACTATGAAGATTAAATGAGATGGCATATATATAATGATTAGAAGAGTACTTTGTATGTGTTACATAGCCAGTAAATGTTAACTAGTGGTAGTCATAGTAAAATAGCTCCTCATTTAGTATTTATACTTAAAATAGCTGAAGAAGAAAATTGAAATCAGTGTTAGAATTTTTAACTGCAGCTCTATATAGTTGATTACTTTTTCATCATTTAGCTAAGAATTTTATAAATTGAAAAATCCATCTATATAGGGAACTATATCATAAAATTTCAAATGTTTGAGGACATGAAATTCTAGTGTATGCATTTGAGCTTTAGTGATATATGCTGATAAGATTATCAGAAGTTTGAATTTTTCTTTTTACTCTAGGGGAATAAGGAAATGGTGGCAGGCACTTCCTCCTAACAAGAAGGAACTATTTAAAGAAAGTATAAGGAAGAATAAATGGAAGTTATTCCTTGGTTTGAGTAGTTTTGGATTAGTATTCATGGTGTTTTATTTTACTCACCTGGAAGTGAGTCCAATCACAGGAAGAAGCAAGCTACTGTTGTTGGGGAAAGAGCATTTCAGACTTTTATCAGAACTGGAATATGAAGCAGTAAGTAGTAAGAATTGTTTTTAATTAGATTGTTTAATATAACACTCAAAGCAGAAAAGTTTCTTAAATACGAAAGATGCACTGCTTTTAAATTTTAGTCTTTGATATGAAATTAGCATTTTTTTTTTTCCAGAAGGCCTCAGACCTTTCACACTTAGTATTCCTACAACCTATGTTGTTTTTCCTCCCATTCACCTAGCTATCTCCTGTTCAGCACCTGTCATCTTAACGGTCACCTTTTCAGGACCTTGATTATCCAGACTGGGTTAGGCAGGGTGACTAGATCAGGCCCTAGGGGATATCCCTCATACAGACTGAATTATAAACCAGCTTATTTGTAATTGTGCCCAGTGCTTGGCTATACTGGGGTTAGGTCTGCTAGTTTTTTTTCTTTTTGCAGACTATACTTTTCCTTAAAGCACTTACTTGATAGTAACATATTAATAAATATTTGCTTAATTACATTGTGCTGCTCTGTCTCCCTTGTTAGACTAAGCTTCGTGGAGCAGGGGTCTTGTCTGTTTTATCATTTTATCTTAAGCACTAGCACAATGTGTAAAGTAGTGCTTGAATAAATCTATAGTCAGAATTTTTATACCTTGAAAGTCAAGTATTCAATAAGATAGTTTTTTTGCAAACATCAATTTTGGCAATTTATTACATATTTTGAATCCAAAATAAAGTTGGAATTCAGAATTCTTAACTTCTTGGAAAGTGTAATAACTCAGATAGTTAAACATTTTGTAACCTAGTGAGTTTCTTCCTTAAGGACAGAGATTATCATTCTGTCTCCAGTGCATACATACATGGTCTGTGCTCTGTGGCTCAATTAATATTTGTTGAATTGATTTGCGATAGCCTCACTTGGCATGGTTAGATCTTTATATCTTTTTATTCCAAATGAGCTTCTGAGTTAGTCAATGGGAAGTTACCATGAAAAAAAGAAGTAACAATGGTTTTTCACTGTAAAAATTGTTCTGAAGGTAAGACTAATCTCTTGTAGTAGAGATTTGAGAAGTTGCTTAGAATTTAGTCAGAGGCAAGTGTAAGGAAAGTTCGAGACAGACTTAATATTAAATTAGTGCATCTTCTACCAATTCATATTGCTAAGAAAATTTTTAAAAATGATATGTATCTGCATATGTGTATATGTAGACCTAGATATACTTTTCTTTTTTTCTTATTTAAGCCACAAATGTAATACCTGCATGATAGGAAAATTTAAACACATGTTCTCATAGGAATATTATAAGTGTTGTAATTACATACAATCTTATCTACTTCAGAAGGATTAATAAGTAGTGGGTTTCTTATTTGTTTCAGGCAGTTTACATTGGTGAATTATGCTTTTAAAAAATGCTGATTGATACAAAAACTATTTTAAACTCATATTCTACAAAATCATGTCTTTTTAATGTATCTCAAGGAAGAAGTTGCTGACTTGTTGATTATGTGAAAGAAATTATACATTTTTTGGATATTAAAGTAATATTTCCAGCACATCCTTACTTTTCTCGGTACACTTGAAATATCTCTCAATGAACATAGCTTCAGAAAAAGTGTCTTTACATGGTGGCTAGTTTTAATCAGCATGATGTAGAGACAGTTGTTCATTAGTTCTGAGATTTCTATGATTTCCTTTCAATCTATGTGAGTAAAACACTTTAAAATTAATGAAATGTTGTCTTTTTTTGGTAAAAGCTTAACCTTTTCATTAAGTATAGGGTGTTTTTCTATTCAGTGGGTTACAAAAGTATTTTTCTTTTGTATTTAACTTTCTTTTTTTTTTTTTGTTGAGACAGAGTCTCACTGTGCTGCCCTGGCTAGAGTGCCGTGGAGTCATCCTAGCTCACAGCAACCTCAAACTCCTGGGCTCAAGCAATCCTTCTGCCTCAGCCTCCCGAGTAGCTGGGACTACAGGCATGTGCCACCATGCCTGGCTAATTTTTTCTATATATTTTTAGTTGTCCAATTAATTTCTTTCTATTTTTAGTAGAGACGGGGTCTCGCTCTTGCCCAGGCTGGTTTCAAACTCCTGAGCTCAAACAATCCGCCCGCCTCGGCCTCCCAGAGAGCTAGGATTACAGGCGTGAGCCACCACGCCTGGCCTTGTATTTAACTTTCTTATATGAAATCTTTATGTTCCTTAGGTGGCGTTTTGTTTTCTAAAATATTTAGAAAAGTAGAAATAATATTTAACCATTTTATTTGTTTATAGGTTAATAGAAATGAGTGAAATTTGATTTCAATCCATTCAGTCCATAAAAAATCTTAGTATTAGAATTTGTTTCTTTGTGAAAAACTGCATTGTCTTTGCATGAATAATTCAAATTTGAGTGTTTCATTTGCAGATTTTTATATAATTAAAACTTAAAAGTGTTCAACAATAGGTAGCCATGTAACTGTCCATGAAGCAATGTAAACATTTTGTACCACTAAAACATTTGTAGCACTAAAAATAAAGAATACTTTTTAATCTTTCAGTGGATGGAAGAATTTAAAAATGATATGCTAACTGAGAAAGATGCCCGATATCTGACTGTTAAGGAAGTGGTTTATCATCTAATTGAATGCAATAAAGATATCCCAGGGATCTCTGAGATCAATTGGATTATTCATGTGGTTGATTCCCCGGATATAAATGCCTTTGTGCTTCCAGTAAGTAAATGTTCTCAAACACATTTTTATTGTCAAATTTAATGTCCTTATTTTTTATGGTGTTCTAATTGCTTCCATCATTTTCTTTATGCTTCAGAATGGACAAGTGTTTATTTTCACTGGGCTTTTAAATAGTGTAAATGATATTCATCAGCTTTCCTTCCTTCTGGGCCATGAAATAGCACACGCAGTACTTGGGCATGCTGTAAGTACCTAAAACGATGTTCAGTTTTTGAAATATTGCTTTGAGGTTAGCAAGTTAAATCTTTTAAAGAACTGAATCTCGTGTTTTCTTTCTTCTTTTTCTAGGGATGGAATTCTGGTTTTTAGTAATTGCCTTATTCTATTACCTGAAAAATGTAATTGGCTATTTTGAGAATTTTTTTAGTCTTTAGTATTTTGTACTGAATAATTGGTGTTCCTCTTAAATACTATTTTTATCACCTGTCTCTTTTGCAAAACGTAATTATTCTCATCCTCTAATTATTTCAAATTAGATTTTAAACTTTCTGTAATTATTAACATACTTGTAATCTAGTCATAAAATTAATTGCTAAGAAAGTGAAATTACTATTTAAGTGCATAAATCAGTTTTCTTTCTTTTTTATTCATTCTCAGAGGATACCTTGGAGCATCTTTGAAAATGTCTAGAATAATATGCTATATATAATTAATGCGGAGTAATAATGATACCTTGCCATTTTACCGTTTACCGAGCTTTTTAATATGTGCCTTCTCATTTATAATTTTAATACCTCATGAGATATGTATTATTTCTATTTTGTATATGAGGATTAGAAACACTAAATAACTAAAAAGTGGCAGAATTGGGACTTTAACCCAGATCGTCTGTATGGAAGTCCAGTGTTTTCTCCTTTTACCACAGTTACCTGGTTGTTAGTAGTACTTTTCTTACAGATCATAGAATTCTAGTTGAATTATGCTCCTATGATTACATGTCTGTTCAACTTGGTGTGAGTCCAGGAAAATAACATATTTGTTTAACTCATTTTTTGTTATTTATTAAAAATATAGATGACTCTTTGTCTACATAATTAGAAATATTATTTTCTTTAATTGAAAATATGACAGTAAATGCTTTTGTGCTTCCAGTAAATAGTGAAAAGACTGTGAAATGCTAAATTGGAAATACAAGTACTATTAACTTCAAATAGAAACGATGTTTCTGATCCTTCTAAAAGTTATCTGAAATTCTACCTATTTCTTAGAGTATTACCAGGATGAAGTGAGCCAAAGTTGTGCTTTTCTGAAGCACAGATAGTGATTTTCTCCTTTATTTCTTTTGAGTTATAAGAAAATTTAAAAAATATTTTTCTTAAACAAATATATACAAGAATAAATCTAAGCAGTTGAAATAGTATCATCATATGCACTTTAATATCTTTCAAGTAATGACTTCATAACTGTAAAACCAATTTTGGCCATTTTGACATCTAAAAGGTGTTACTATTCAATACATTCGTTTTTCTGGCATCTAGTTCAATGCCTCATATTCAGTGTGTTGTCATCTCTATCAGTGCAAGAACAATAATTAGATGAGATGTAAAAAGCAAATAGCCATAAAAATATAAAATAGTTATTAATATTTCTTTGGCAGAGGGCTTAAATATTATCGACAATATTTTCTCTTTTGGGAGTCTCAATTTTGATTTGAGCTAGTCTTTTGTGTTGTTTTCTTCTACCAATACACAAAGTTTTTTTTTATTTCTAGTTTTCTAAGTATAGTAGCAATTATAATCTTTAATAATTTATAACAAAGACTTTCTCTTCTATAATGGCTTCTTCATTTTGAGTTTTACTCTTTCATGTTAAAATAATTCCATAATTGTTTTTCACAACACATAGTTCTTATAATGAAGCAAAGTATGTTTTGCAAGGGCAGAATATATTAGGGACACATTCTAGGTCATTATTTTTAGTTTTCAGTCATGTTTCATAGCTTTAAGTAATGACTGCTATATTATTAGTATCAGCATTATGTTAACATTTATTAATCAACTTTAATGGCAAACAATGAACAATCCAGTACATTAAACTTACATTTAGATATTACCACTGAAAACAGCTATTTTATGTAAAACATTTTTTGGTTACTGCTATAAGTAAATACAGAAATTCACAGAACCCGATTCCCTGATGAGAAATACCAGACTTATAAAATTGCAAATTTGTATAAATGAATCATGTTTTGTACATTAGGTCTTAAAAACTAAAAGACTTTTCAAAAAGAAACGTCCAGTCTTTTTTTGAATTCTTTTTATTTTAACTGCTTCATATGTTAGATAGTGTTTAATCTTTATTCAGATACATAAATAAAATAAACACACTTATTTGATTTTTAAAAAGATGTAGTGAATATATTAGAAACTGAAATTGCCCAGGTTTAACTCCTGGGCCTTTTACTAATAGCTGTGTGAATTCGAACAACTCTTTTAAGCTCTCTCTCAGTTTCATTGTCTGTAAAATAGGGATAATTGTACCTATCTTACAAGATAGTTAAGATTGTTAATATAAGAAACTGTAGGTTAATAACATCTGACTAATATAGTAAGTGGCTCAGTAAATGCTAGTTAAATGAACAAGTGGATATATAAGTATGTAAAAAAAGAAGGGAAAAACAGACCGGGAAAGAGTAAGCTCAATGAAGAAAAAAACTTTCCATCTCAGTTGGTGAAGGTCAGTTAAAAACATGTAATTATTTAATGTGATTACACATAATAAACTAGAAAATATAAGCTGTTTCAATTTATTAAATGTAATTTTCATTATTTTGATTATTCTCAGGCAGAAAAGGCTAGCTTGGTTCATTTATTGGATTTCCTAGGTGTGATTTTTCTCACAATGATTTGGGCCATTTGTCCTCGAGATAGTTTGGCACTTTTGGGCCAGTGGATACAGTCTAAATTGCAGGAGGTAAGTCTGACACAGTAACTTGAATTTGTAATAGCCTTTGGTGAGAATATTTTAATATTGTAAAACAACAAATACCAGAGATATTTTCACATTTATTATGAATCATGGGTACTAATTTTTAGTGTCTTCTGTTTTCTCATTTTTAGGGGATATTCATATATATGAACATTTAAGGAATATTACACCTCTCAGATGATGAATATGGATGAGTTAGAAGGGCTTGGCAACTTTCAGATAATATTTTTTTAGTATTGTTATTGGTCCTACAGAGAGAAAACCATGTCACTGATCCATTTGTTCTGACTGTGGTATACTAACTTAATGATTCCCCTTTCCCCAAATATAGTCATTCCTCAGTATCAGTGGGGGATTTGTTCCAGGACCTCCCATGGGTACCGAAATCTGAGTACGCTGAAGTCCCAGATTAAAAATGGCATAGTATTTGCTTATAATCGACACACATCATCCCATATATTTTTAATCATCTCTAGATTACTTATAATACCTAATACAATGTAAATGCTATATAAATCATTGTTATGGTGTATTTTTAAAAAATTTGTTGTATTCTTATTTTTTTATTTTTCTGAATATTTTACATCCTCAGTTGGTTGAATCCACAGATGCAGATACGGAGGGCCAACTGTATTTGTATTTTGATAGGGAGCTATTGAAACCCCTAAACTTTAATGCAAACAGAATTGGTTGAAGCTGCTTTACTGCCCTCCCTTCCTTCTCATTCCTAGGTTAAACTAACATTGCTTTGAAAATATTGAAAGGATAGTCTTTTTAGGTGTTTAACTTTTGTTTTTAGTCGTTACGTATAATAATCTCAAAAATTTATTGAGTCCCTCATTTTCTTCAAAACAGTGCACTATTGAAAGCAGGTCTTGGAATCTTCGTAACTGCTTTGTTAACCATGATTAATTATTTTATTTTACATCTTTTTTCAGATATTTCCTCTTGTCCTGGGAGGTTTGGTTGTTTAGGAACAATCTGTTATTTGTTTATTTAATGATTTGTGGAGCACCCATCAGAATGCCATCTGGGTGCTGTTTAAATCTAATGTGCAGAATTCTTTGAGACAAATTGCTTTTGAGATTGGATAACTAAGTCTGTTCATCAGTGTTACCATTTGGCTTCATTTATGTTGAAGTAAAGGTTCTTAAAGAGAAAAAGAAAGAATGATTATTGCTTAGGCAATAGGACCTCATATTTTGAATTTTGTTTCTGTCACTGACCTGGGAAGTCAAAGGAGTTAATGTAGTTGTTTTCCCCATCTATCTATAGATTGCGTTTCCTATAATGGAATCAAGATTTGGTCATAAGAAAGATAACTTGTATCCATTTCTCCCTTGAAATACTTGATAAATCCTGCCATTTCAGTGTAATTCTTCAATTTAATAATTAAGCCGAAAATAAGAACAACTTCTGTTTGCATTCTTTTTCCCTAAATCAAGGCCCCTCAGTAATTTTGGTGACAAGATGTTTTTCTTTTCATAAATAAAGCCTTGTTTACTGTGACTGGAGAGCAGAGAGGAATGCAGATAGTAAAGTCATTAGGGAATGGAATTGCTAACATTCATCTGCTATTCATTCGTTATGAGGACTGAATGATACATTGAAGGCATGATTGCTTAATACCAGCACTATTGACATTTTGGGCTGGATAATTCTTTGTTGGGGGGAGTTTTCCTGTGCATGGTTGAATGTTTAGTAGCTTAGTAGCATATCTGGCCTCTTCCCACTAAATGCTAGTAGCTCTCCCTCCCTCGAGTTGCGACAATCAAAAATATCTCCAAACATTTATAAATGTACCTGGGAGACAAAATCATACCAGGTTGAGGACCACTGATTTAAGGCATTTAGCACATTACCTGGCATGAAGTAAGGACTCAATAAACATGAATTATCCTTACTATTTGTTCATTTATTCCTCTCTATAACTCTAAGAGGTTGGTACTGTTACAAGTTCCATTTTACATGTGATGTCCCTGGCAGAGAAGTTAAACAATTAGCCTAGAGTTAATTAATAAGTGTTAGAATTTGGACTTAAGTTTCTCTCTTTTTAAAGTCAAAATTTTTAATCAGTATACTATTAGTAGACTTGCTGGGGCACATGCAGACAGCTCATGGAGAGTGAAGACACTATATGGTACAGTTGATCAGCCTAAAACGTGATTGAGAAGGACGAAAGTCATACTTAATGGTCACATATATCTAATGGTCACATATTGTGGATCAGGTTGATTATATTATTTCTAGCTGTCACAGACATGTAGCCACCTTTGAAAGATCGTTTCCCCAGTTAATAGCTCTTTTCTCAAAAGTCCTGCCTATCGATCCATCTCCTACAAAGTTTTAGTGCTTACTGAAAATTAGAGTTTAACTGGAAAGCAGTCACATAAATACAAGTAATTAGGAAAATTAAAGTTATGATATCTATTTGTATTTTTTTATCAAAGTTGGAAGAAAATTTCATTTTCCCAACTAATCAATACTTAGAAAAGGAGAAGGAAATTAAGATAATTTATCAAAGAAAGAGCATTCTGCTATGTGGTTAATTTTCTTACTGAAGTAAGCCCTCTAGTAGTGTCACGGGCTATTATATACATATGTTTTCTCAATTTTCTTTTAAAACTGCAAGATCAAAATATTCCTCGACCATATTAAAAGCCTGCCTCAATAAGCTTTCTTAGAAAACCCTCTACTCAGTGGGTGGAGATTATAATAGGAAAAATAGAAGTAAACTACTTATGATACTACAGACTGTTTAGAAATTTTATAGGCATGACTTTTTCTATGTTTTCCATGTTTTGAAAATATTAATCTCTAAGGGAGGAAATAAAGGCTGTATTTATATTTTATACCATGACGTTCTCTAAATGTTACAGTATGAAAAATTTTATCTTAGATACTCCATAAAATTAATTTTTAAAAAAATCTCTTAGTTATTCCTTTTGTCATGAATAAGTTGCCTTATTGGAGCTTTTCTATCCTATTTCTTCTTAGTATATGTTTGATAGACCATACAGTAGAACACTGGAGGCTGAAGCTGACAAAATTGGACTACAACTTGCTGCAAAGGTAAAGTGTTTGGTAGTTGAGAATACATAGTGTCCTTCACATAGTAAAAGATAAATGTGTGTTTTCTTTTTGTGTGTATGTGTTTGTTGTCTTAATGATGTTTGGCAGGAGCACAGAGTGAGAGTTGGACTATATTAACCCTTTGTACAATTTCTATTAATCTGTAGAAATTTGAGATTGTGGACCTTGAAAGAATGCATAATTAAAGATACTCATTTAACTCCCTTCTGTATATGAGGCTGTATAGACAGAATATGTAAGATTGTGGTAATTATCAGGTTATATTTAAAAAGCTCTAATCTTTTATTGGAAAGAATTTTTTGCATGTATAAATTTTTGATTACAGACACGAAATATATAAATCAAAATTTAAAAAATACATGGTTATGTATTGTGTTATTCCCCCTCCTTCCATCCCAGCCTTTTTAAATTTGTGCCCTCTGGAAAGCTAATGCTATCTTTATTGTACTCCTAAGGAGGCTTTTTGACTAAATAAGATGTGTAGCTGTTTTATCCTATTTGGAGAAAGGTAAATCCTATTGTAGCTATGATCCTGGCTAAGCAAACTGCGTTTTCACCATTTAAATAAGTAGTAAGAGAATAAGCATTTAGGTTATTTTTGTTGTAGCGGATGACTTTTTTTTCTTTTCTTTTTTTTTTTTTTCTTGCTCACCACAGAGAACCACTCTAGACCTTTACTTTTATTTATGTTGGCTTCATTCCTTTCTGCTTAACAGGGTACTAGG